TGATCGTCCCGTATTGCCACATTACAAGAATGCTATTTATTGCTCGTTCTATTTTGATCATTAAACACACAAGAGTCCTTTGATAAAAACGGGCAGGGACAGAAAGACAGACGGACAAACAGACAGACAGACAGACGGACGGACGGGCGGACAGACAGACAGACAGACAGACAGACAGACAGATAGACAGACAGATAGACAGACAGACAGACAGACAGACGGACAGACCGAGAGTAGGAGAACTGAGCAAGATAATAAAACATGAAAAGATCAATATTATAGCAATTAATTAAGTAACGGGTCAATACGGTGAAAAAAATGCCACTTGTCCAGAAATCAATTCAGTATCATTTGATTATCCTCAACTTCATATATATGTTTTAGAAAAACATTTAAAAAATAACTAAGCCTATGTATGGCTTTTTTTTTTTTAGAAAAAGAAACCTTCGATATGCTGTACTTCACTTCCGAATATGCGACCATTACGTTTCTAACAAGTTTTCTCATTAGTTTGAATGTAATCCTTTAAATTTCGAGAGATCCGATTCGCTGCTTGTTTAAACAACGTTACCTGCACAGTTCTGGCACTAATCACTTTCGCAATGCTCAAGTACTCAATACTATTGAGCCGTTGAGGAAGTTGTAAACAATTAAACTTTTCAAACTTTTAATTAACGAGAAGCTTACTCTTCAGAGCAGCTGCGGCGCTCCTAGAAAGCTGCGGTGAATGAAAACGATGACGACGATAATTCACATGAAAAAGAAAGACACAAACAAACAAAATGATTTTAACTGTTCAGAAAAAAAAATATCTTAAGAAATATAATACGTGTACAAAAATTGTTATTGTATATAATTATATACACATGTGTGTATGTATCTTTAATAATATATAATTATATACACATGTGTGTATGTATCTTTAATAATATGTAATTATATACACATGTGTGTATGTATCTTTAATAATTTGTAATTATATACACATGTGTGTATGTATCTTTAATAATATGTAATTATATACACATGTGTGTATGTATCTTTAATATATGTAATTATATACAC